GCCGTAGTGACACGACGCGTTGTCCAGCAGAAGAAGCACTCCCTGTCTGCATCTTAGCATCGAAATGCCGGAACCACTCAGCAAAGTTGACCTGTTTGTCCACGCAGTCTGTTCGTCGAAGTACAAAATTTTCATATGCTTGGTGTTGGCTTTGCGAAATGCTCGTGATTGCTTCGACTTGCCTATGACTTCGAGAATCATCTTCTCGGTCCCTTTCATGTTGCAGCACGTTGCGACTGCGATACGATCCTTCTCTGACTTCTTGCTGTTACCAGTGTCTTGTTTGAATGTAGGCAAAAGAAGGGGTCTGATTCGTCAAAATTTAATATATGTCTTGTGAATATTGTCCAATCAGCTCTTCAAGATCCAATCAATTCACCGCGAATTGAGCGCGATCAACTGAGTATGCCTCGCCATGAAGCACATGGTGCTGGATGCCGTTTCGAGTCCTAAATTTGAGCAGCAACCCATTAGGAAGCCGTCTAAAATTATCGCTTTAACATAAAGCGGCTTGGAAAAAGCAACTTTCTTCTTCTTTAAATCGTCTTTGAGAATCGCTTTGCCGACATTGAGACGATTGAATGGTAAGAACGAAGCCTCAAACTCTGGAAACAGCAACTTTCGATTGCTCTTCCTGCCCGTGGCAACGAACGCGTTGGCTGGTGTTTGAAAAATCCGATCTGATGCCGTTGTGGAGATTCGAAGGCCGATCTATTCCCTGTCCCAGTCTTGTATTTGGAAATCATTTATGGCTAGCGTGCGTGTGATGAGCACCTGCACCTGACGCTTTTGATCCATCGTCAGAATTGTTCGCTTTGACGACATATGTAAGGTGAAACGGATGCAGATGTGATAAGGGGCCGGCAATGCAAAATTGTGGCAAGTATAATATAGAGAGAAACTGGTGATTATGCTCGTTGTTTCAGTACCCTATTCCTTAAGTCTCTTATATAGAGTCAGCATACAAAAAACAAGTGACACATCTTGGTGCGAAACTTTCAGTTCCTCAAACAGGAATATAACCCTCTATAGAGGTTCTTATATGGTGGTACGACTAAATTTGTTGTCCCCTATAGAATGAAGACGCATAAGAACAGCACATTATACCAGATCTTAAACTTATATCAAGCTCCATCCTAAATTGTCGCACCCATTCTCCAAATATCGCAGGTCTTAAAGACGCTGTCAGAGATGTAGCAGCCAGGCCTATAGCGCCCAAAATCTTTTTTTAACCATAATGATTTTTTAAACTGTATTTAGCCCCTTCCTTAAGGAAATTGTTGTGTTAATATGCCGTCGATACTTATGGTCACTAATATTCAATTGGCCGTTTAGGTGACCGCGAAAATCTTTAATGTTATGCGACCGATCAATTAACATTCCTGTACACATTCAAAGTCACCAATCCTAGCATTTTGTAAGACAATGGTATGATCGTTCTCAGTATTGCCGTTTCAGTGTAAGTTTTCATTCACATCCACAAGTAGACCCCTACTGCATAGAGTAAAAATTTATAAACTTGATGCGATTCTAGATGCTGTGGCGGCTTTTCCACTTGCGGCAAGATTAATCGCACAAGGTAGCAGGCACATGTATTATATCAGTAACAGGTCATATTTCGGCCGAGGGGAAGGAAAAGTCTAGTTCTGACAAATGACAATGGATCACATGAGGATTCGAGTGTCCAGTGTCAACAGACAGTAGTAAATTACTTAATGAAGCTAGATTTTGAATAAACAAACTTGTGTATAAAGTATATAATGAATTAATATCACCCGTACCGTAGCTATGCAGCATTTTACCAGAAAAATAATTATTATCGAAGAGCTTTTCATTTCTTATAATGAACGCAATTGTCAACGTAATACATTGAAGTACATAAAAATATAAAAATTATTAAATTGTAGGCTATTAAAGAATAGAAATCGTTTAGCTCGCGAAGTTTCAAGGTATGTTATCAGGGTACGATTCGTGAATCGGCTACACGAAGTATAAAACCTTAATAAAACCTAGAATTTGTTTGCTTAAAGGATGCATTTAATAGAAACTTGTCAACGTATAGGTAAGATACGAGCCGGCGTTAAATAGATTAACTGCAAGGAATCCTGCGAAAAAATAAACGGAATTGTCTTTTATGTGTCAGATTTATATTTTCTTCATAGTGGCTGGAATATATAGCACTTAAAAACAGTACTTGATACTGTTGGAAAAACTTTAATTGCAGTTGAATGTCAGATGTTGAATTTGAATGGCAGCTGGTGAAGTAAAGGGCAGTTGGTGAAGGTTAATGACATTTCTCTTTCATAAGTATGATCCCAGGTTGTATTTTTCCCGTCGAATTACACAGAGTCCTGACGGTAGGAAGGTAGGATTTGCATAATAAAAATGAACGACAGTTTCATATCCGTATCGTCAAGATCAAGTGTTCTGAAATTTACAGTACTACATTTATTTATATAAGATCTGCAACATTTAGCGCTTTTGCGAAAGAAATTGGTTTGGCTAAACGAGCTATATGTGTCGGTTCAGAACACAATACAATGTGTTTGCTTAGGTCATAGAGGTTTAAGTGCTGGTACATTGGTCTTCAACAGTGTAATCCCCTACACCAAAAAGGTATCTAGATCATATGTATTCACAATATCCAATTTTTGTGATCAAAGACGCTATCGTAAGGCAATTATCTTGTGCAGGTCAAAATGCGAATGATATTAATTTGAATTCCTTCAACCGAAATTTTCTTTTGCATCAAATTGAGTGTAGGTTTTTTCCCTACACTAGAGTAAAATTCGAAAATGTAGCAGTGGTGGCTGATATAATAAGGATTAGTAAATTTAATACACAACATACTACCCGTACCCGTGCATACGAGGTGCCACCACAGTGTACTATTGGAACAGAACACGTACTCATTTCGTGCTTGTACCACCCAAGTGTACTACCATTACGCCAATGACTTTAGCTTTCCTATGCTGTAAGCATGAGATTGCGAATATTTCCGCAATCTTCACCATCGGCAAAGAGATGATGATAACCAATTATTAAATCCGTCGTTTTTATAACATTGCGCACAGGATCATAAGCCTCACTATTCCCAGTACAGGTTACGCGAGTGCATTAATAAATATTCGTAGATCATCAATCAGTTTTTGGCATTTCTTCAGGTTGTTGTCGTATTTTGGTCATTGCTCATCCTTTCTTTCTCAATCATCTTCCGATTTGTCCTTTCTTCGGTTTGTTGTCGTCTTTTGCTCATTGCTCATCCTTCCTTTTTTAAGCCTCAAATAATTAAAATGTAAAAGTAAATATCATTAGCAGCATGGTAAAGCCACAAATATATATATATCAGTGTCTCTCGTTTGCTTTCATGACAACAATGCCACTAGAGATGACAGCGAATTGTACCATGTCGAAATGGCTTATAAAATTAGAAGGACAGAAGTAAGGTAATCTTACAAAAAATGAATTACGACCTATTTAAGGCTTACTCTTAATCGTCGACTACCTATTTTCTCTCGCAAAACGATGATAAAAGGAGATATAAACATAAGTTAGTCGTCTTGAAATCTTGTGCGAAGAGGAGAGCGATAATAGATATTCTCTCGAAACCATGTTGCAGTTTTGTAGATGTCCGTACGTATGGGGTATTCTATAAATACAATTTTTGGTTTCGGATTATAAGGTGTAGATGTTAGCCCTGCATTGAATTTCTTGTGTTATCGCTTTCTTTATTTTGGCGCTCAATATATCACATCTAGACAACCAGCTCTTTGGGTTGAGCTGGCGCTAGTCCATCGTCACATACAATTGGACGATACATACCCAGCAAATGCAATGGTATATCAAGTGGAATTGAGTCAGCGTCCATGGAATTGGAGAACGACTGCTTCGCCGTGACAGAAAAATTACGTTGTACATTTCAGAGCACACGGCAAACATGGTGATTTAACGCCGAAACTTACGCTGCCTGACAGGTCCGATCCCATCGAATAATGTCGAGCCCAAAACCTACTGATAAATGTAAATAAACAGTTTCGTAAAAGGAATATGGGAAAGACAACGACGTGACCGACTCAGGTAGATGTGCTGTTATAAGCTTAAGATCCAATGTTATCAAGGGCTTTTAGTGAATAAATGCACGTCTGTTGAATGGATCAGGCATTATTGGCTGTGTACTGAGTCCGCAAATAGTGACTGACCTCAATTTAATAGCGTGGTAGTAACCTGCTAATACCATCACCATCCATCACTACACTACTTTGCGAAATGCACACCATGTGCCTCGCTTTACACTGTGTAGACCCGAACTGATCTTGTTTAATATAGTTGATAACAAGCGGCTTCTCTATACGTGGAGATAATCAGGAACGTTGGTCATGTGAATTGACTTGTTGTCAGGTGAGCGTTGGAGGGTTACTGACATTGCGATATCCTCCATTTGATGATGAGCTATTTCCATGTGGCAGCTGAAACATCAGAAATAAAGAATCGGGTGTTTTAGATGACAAATATTGCGTTCAACAAACTCATGGGAAGTCGAGACTGCAAGTCGATGATGACTGGTATTGCGGTCAATACGCACACGGAAAGTCGAGACTGTGACAGATCTGCGTTGCACAAGCCAATTGATAGTCATAAGTGTAGGTCATGACGACCTGAGCTAAAATCTTCTGCAAAGAATTGTATATTGACCCAGTAGTCGATAATCACATCACAAGACGGTCGAAACGAGGTGTTAGGCATTATGAGCCCTTGCCATCTGCGCCGTCTACCCAGTCGGCAGCTTTTGTCATGTTGTCCATTCATTTAGGATAAGGGCAAGACTAGTTGAATGGAATCGTTGATGACGGCAATAATTGGTCGGATGAAGCGCAAGGAATGTCGATCACACGTGCGCACATCTGGAGAGCTGCGTACAGGCGACTGATTACTTATCAGGTCAATGGTCTTTATTGGCGTTGTATCAGCACATTCCCTGCATCGCCTCTTTCGCACACCAGCTACGCAGAGAGTTGAGCCACTTTGTCTCGCAGACCCTGTTCAGTCTCGAGCTTGTGCAGCTGATCGTCGTTCAGCACGTCGCCACTCTCCTTCTTCGCTTTGATCGCGTCAATCTGCTTCAGTTTCTTCAGCAAACTCTCACCTTTTTAGCCTTCTCCCATGAAGTCAGCTCGACGGACTCATTTCTGTCGGTGCACTGAGGTGGTGCCAGCAAGTTTGGCGATCGCCTCGTCCACGGCAGCCTTGGCTTCAACAGCCTCCTGCGCCTTTTTCTTACAGGCACTCTTGCTCAGTTTCTTGGGCGCTGCAGCGGTCATGACCGGAATCACACGAGGTGCAGCACCAGGTATGGTTGAGGTATTGCTGGGAGGAGCTGCATACTTGTTACTGTCCAGTTTCTTCGGTCCACCTTCTTCTTCTCGCATCATTGCAGCGAGCGCTCCTGTCGATTTTGGCGGACGGTATGCTTGCGGCTTCGGCGCAGCATTTGAAGTCGTGGATGATGAACCAAAGCCCGCCTCGTCGTCGTTTCGGCGTGGAGACTGCGGTTAACACAAGTACGTGTCCAGTGCTGCCGGGTGGAATTTGAGGTCATACAGCTCGCCGCGCTCTTCCTGGTAAATGGGACCAGCGCCATTTTAGCGGAAAATTTTATAGCCGTTGTCGACACGCAGACGCGGGAACGTAGTCGCCACTGCAAAGTAGCGGCTGTCCGGCGACCACGCGAATGTCGTCGCGGAGTTTAACGTTGCAGAGCCCATCTTTTTGACCTTGTTGCGCTCCAAAAAGTCCATGTCACCACGAAGATTTCCAAAGCCAGCCAGACACAAGAAGCGACCGTGCGGGTTCCAGCTGACGTGATTCCGGGGCGCTGCAGCAAACTCAAAGACTGGGATCGCCTTGCTGTCGTAAAGCGTGGCATTCGCAGGCATTGCACCCGCGATCACCACAAACCCGCGGCCCGTCGGGTCCCACGCCACATCGTGCACTGTGCCTTCTTTCGTTAGCAGGACAATGCAGTCATACTCGCCGTCGCTCTGCAGGAAAAAGAGACCTGTTTCACAGTAGTACGACTTGCCTGACGTATCAATGTCCGTGCGAGTTTCAATGATCAGTGCACTGCCTGTGGGAGACCACTTGAATGTCACGTCCTGTGCCTTGTAAAAGCTCTTCGTTGCTGTCGGCACATCGAGGTTGGTAAATTGAAAAATCTTGACACCAGCAGGCTTGCCCTTCTTCTCTGGAACGAACTGAGCCACCTTGTATGGATCTCGGCCAGGAGCCAGGAGCAACACTGGAGTTCGCCACGTTCTAATCACAAAAGACCGCACCACATCATACCATCATCAACTCAGCTTATTCTAGCTCCTCGCGTAATACAGCCGATTTGTTCCACGTACGGGGAGGTTGATTGGACCGATCGGTCCCGCTGCGACGTCGCGACCGCTGTACAGCATCACACTGTTTGCACTCTGACGCGCACAGACTGTCTCATCAGACGACCACTGAAGCGGCGACCATTTCTATCACAACAACAACAACAAAAAGATGAAGAGCAAAAGCTCGATGACAGCACGTCAGCTCAAGACACGCACACACCACACCATACCTATTCTCCTGCTCTCGTCAATAAGCGTCTCACGTACATCACGTGTATAGGACTTTTGCTTGAACCGTGCGACTTCTTTGCATGTGAGCGCGTCCCACACAACGAGGTTACCGAGGTCCGAGATTTCTGGGGCCGCTGCAATGTCAACAAGTGCGAGCCAAGTGGCGACCAGGCCACTGCTAGAATGCCTGGATTGACCACGTTTACGACGACAGCACCACTGTCCGAGTCGTGCACCGTAAATCGGATGCAGTGCGCACGAGTGCGAGAAGCTTGCCATCGTTGGTGAACTCCAAGAGATCAGCAAAGCCTACAGCTACAAAATTGTCATCGCGCTCAATCTTGAGCGTCTTGTTCCTGCTAGAAGAGGGCGGACCCAAGATGGGTTCAACACCGCTCTTGCCACGGAGAAACAACTTGGTACGTGTTCGAATTGCGAGTCGTCGCTTGCGGTCATTGTGGCAGTGTCTGTATGCACGAAATCGAGTGCAGTTGGAATGGCAGGTGGATGGAGTTAGAGCGCGTGAGTGACGAAGAGGTGCGTCGGTGGATCCGTATCGAGACGTAGAGGTGGTAAACGAAACATTTGCAGTCAATCTACGTGCCAAATGCAGTAACGTCGGTGCTGTTGGATGCGTCCAAGAGAAGAAGAGCTGACTTACCTGTCGCCATTAGCGCGAGCTTTGAGGTTGTATGACTCGCACACGTAGTGCGTGATCACGTATGTCACTGAAGAGGAAGAGTGACACGGCACGTATCTGACCATCGTTTCCATTGCACAGGGAATTTGTATTGCATGGGCGCGTCATCTGCGTATTTTTAATGGCCACGGACAAGCCAAGAGCGTTTTTGTGGAGACAAGAGACGCTACAAACCGACAGACCGTTACGCTACAGGCAGAAGAGACCAATTCGTTTGCTGGATGAAATCGTTTGAGTCGTTTTGTGCTGTTGTTTGATAGACGGACGGTAGAGAGGAAGCATGTGAACTGCCGGTTGCAGCGCTCATTATAAGATGTGTGTGTAGCCAAAATGCAACATTACGATTGTATTGTCTTACGAAATGCGTTATCTACAATATAGTTCCAGCTACTATTTGCATTGTTCATCGATTCGATTAAAAGGACTGCAACACTCGTGCGTTCCGGATGCCTCGACGAGCTACAGAGCGAATCATACTCGACCTTTTTGCGTTGCTGAAAGGATAAATGCATTAAAAAAGTAGAGAATGAAGCAAGTTGTTTCCTTGACATTCGCGGCTGTCTTAATCCTTGGAACTAAAGAAGCAGACGTCGTTTTAAAAGCGCGACTGCTAGTCGAATACTGCGATGAAATGGCAGATTCTATTCTCGGATAGAGTAACAGAAGCGAGGCAAGAATGATTGCTAGCGAAGAGACGGAAGCATCGAAGCGAGTACGTAAAGATGACACCACTACTACTTTTACATTAGCTTCATCGTAATGTCATAGATTATGAGACCAGCAGGTTTAACCGCCCACAGGGCCTGATACGGAGCTGTTGGCACAAGGTCGGCAGCTCAAAAGGGAAAAACTTTCTAATATATCGGCAAGATGCCATGAAACACGAAATATTAGTTGGTTAATGTGCTGACGGGACTAGCGAAGCAGATCTCTATACCAGAGACATCACAAAAGACCTATTAGCAGCTGATGGGCAAATTTTTTAGTATTTTTGGATCAGTCTTTGGATTAGATATCCCGATATTACGATTGGCAGTGGGCCATTGGCGACTTGTAAATTGGTGGGCTTTCAACGGGATATCGCCGAGGAAATAATTGTCATATATGTCGCCAGATAAGTATTTTTAAGCACATAATAATCGTTAAGCAAGGGCGGCTGCGAACGTCGAGATGGCAAAGGCATTTTGGCTTGGTGGTTGACGCAACACTACGTGCTACATGCAGTTTATTAGTGGTGTTAATACCGTAGCACGCCGGGGTACATACAAGAGAGCCCTTTCTGTGAACCTACACTACTTGTAAGTCAGAGGCAGACTTCGCGGCTCATGGCCACGTCTCACAGCCTCTTACTACAACAGAAATTGAAATTTGAAGACGTAAATAGCGCAGGATGTATATTATATGGTGGAATCTAATGTATAACGCAAAAGCTTACCAGGGTTCATTCGAATCATAAGCATTGATTGCACTCGTTAACGCGCTAAAAATCTTATGCTGTATCCTTTTGAAAAGGGAACTGAACTGAATGAATGCTCATAATATAAGGCGAAAAATTGTCATAAGCACCCATGCATTCAAGTAAACTAGTTCTCTCAGTAATCGTAGCATCCAATATTTACAATTGACTGTGACTAACGAGTCAACCTTTCATTCAGTGCTGGCTGGCAGACAGGTCAGTCAGCTATTAATGACCCATTAGCCAGTCAGCAAAGGATACGTTCCTAGTATCGTATCGATCGTAAAAGCATGATACTTAAAGATGCGTAATCAATGTTATTATAAGCTAAACAGATGGCGCATCATAGGACCCACACTAATTATCTCCTTAAAGGGCTGTGTACCACATTTACATTGTAGGTGTCATGGCTTAAGACACCCGAGTAAGCCCGTATCAGAAACTACGAGAAAGATTATGCTTACCATCCATCAAAATTATTTACAGTGATGTATACGATAAGGTAAGCAGTTCTCGATCAAGAATTAAGTCAAACGAATAATTATATAATATAACCGAGCGAGCAAATTTAATTGCAGTGGAAATGTCAAGATAATTTCAGTGGACCTGGCCTCACCGAAATTTTTAAGCGGTATTTGGATGTTAAAGTAGAGAATGCTAATAGTAGATGTCGGTCTAAATGCTACGATACACTTTTTTGTCACATTTAACAAATGAAGATCACGCCAGCGATAAGGACAAACTTAAAGCTACATCAACTTCAATTAATGTAGCACGACGCACGAATCGATGGTGCGAATGAAAACCAAGCAGAAGTATTATTCAGTAAAAATGCTGGCTAAAGGTCACTGATTCTCGAATGTCAAAGATAAACACATTTTTTTGCAAATAAAGGAATATAAAGACTAGGGAAAATTCCCCTATAAAAACCGAAAATAAGAACCATCTTTAGGCAATTGAGAAAAAAATGCCCCAGATAATTTGTAAAAAAAACGGTGTTACACGTCCTTGTATACTCCAGTTTGTGTGGGACACATATAATATCACGTCCGTAATTAATTTCGTTTTCCCTTTGACGGCCGTGACCAACCTTCGCCCTGTTCTAAAAGCCGCCGATGGGTTCTGCCGCGGGCGTGTTGCGCTTGCAGCCAACAGTTGCAGGCGCACACACGAGATATGAGGACGTAAATGCGTCTTTGTATTATCGGTATAAGCCGTAAAACAGTCAGTCCGTGCTAATTATATTGACCGTAATGTTATTGCTTTTATTTTGTTGTATAACTTACTATTTTTGATGCTGTTGCTGCTACTGTTTATGCTACTGCTGCTACTGCTGTTGCTATTGCTGTTGTTGTATGTTAGGTAGTTGCTATCAGTGTTGTTCTGCTTGTGAGGTCGCATTCCATTCCTTCTTTTCAGGTTTATTACTTAAAAAAACACAATCATATCAATATACCCCAATGAATCTATTTTTTCGGCTCTTTTTGATGACTTAAATGCCTGCAGACTTCGTCTTATGCAGGCCTATTTTATGAAGAAAACGTGCGACGATGCCTTAAGCGTATTCGCCGAACTAGGAGAAGAGGCATTTTTTTTATTTTCGCAATTAAACCTATATTAATAACAATTGTTAAATCCTTCTTATTAAATCTGTGTAAGACAGCCTGAAATAGTATTACTTCGTTGCAGATGCTAGTATTTTTACCGAATTTGAGATCCTGTGCCTAGAAATATAAAAAAGTAACTTCATAAATTAAACTTTCTACAGAGGCATATAATAAAAATGCTCTGAGTGAGTAAAACTTAAAAATTTGCTAGTTGTAAGCATTCCCTCACATAGGATTTAATTACAAAAAACGGTACGTAAGAAGGGATAAGCTGACATGTTTGGGGGGGGCACCCGTCATATTCTTTTTGTCTCGATGTGGGTATGGTAACAACGGAATATGGAATTGGTTGTGAGCTTTATTTGAGAGGCTATATGATCTTAGAATCGTGTCAAATCTAAAACAAATTATGTAAAAATAATATGTTAAATTTGACGTTAAAGTACATTGTTTTACGCAATCATTTGCAGATTTTACTAATTTCCCTTGCTGGTTGTTTAAGCAAGAGATCGTTTACCGTGTCAATTAGTATTCAAAAGAGAAACAGAAATAATTGTAGAATAGCACTCGCTTGTAGATTTACTTTAACACGTTTATTTTTTGATATATAAAAACAAGTAAAGACGGTATAAATTAAATCTCGAGCATAGAAAACATAGCGACTCGCATGTGTTATCGCGCAAAATACGGATCGTATGAAGTAATACATTTCACAGAAACACATGCGATCACGATGTCATCGCATTAGAAGATAATGACAAATTCAGTTATCATGATAAATTACATTAGTTATCTCTTTTGTGACTAGGGTAGATATCATTATTTTCTTGCTGATAATGCACGCACCTGCTGGCATCTTGAAAATACACATGTATATTAAGGTACTTAATGTGTTCGATGGGATATTTTGCGACCTTTTTATAAAAGCACTGCTAAAGATTAAAGCTATATATACCCTATTGCTGCAATGGATTAGTCATTGGAAGTACATATTAAAATAACCGCTCTCTGTTAAAAGCGTCACATTAAGTGACCGTGTTTTGTCGTTTTGTGACGGGTACTGTCATAGGTGTCACAAGACGTCGAAAAGCGAGTTCATTTTATTTAGGTTTCATACCAATTACATATTGTCTGATTATAACGAAGATGCAAATAGTGTTCCTATTCGTTTTTTAAGTCATTTAAAGAAAAATGTAAATTCAAAAACACGGTAAGTGAGCCTTTAAGAAGCTATCATTTGTCAAAATGTGCCCGCTACATATACTTAAACTACAAGCAGTTTACAATTATTTGATATACTAAATCTGTATTGTTCCTGTTTGTACACCAATATTTATTTGACGGAGCGGACATCGTTCGAGCAACATCCATTTAACTTATATTCGTCATTTCTAATGTTAAATTAGACGTATAGAAATTTTGATTTTATAAGTATCAATTATTTTAGCGGATACTGAAAAAGATACAGGCTAAAAGCTTAGTAACGATGATACTAAAATCTTTACAGTATACGTCA